ATTACGGTATAAGTAAGAGTGGAGTGCTTCACCTTTTCCATTTTTTATGTGGCAGTCTGGGGATTAGAACTTGCAACCTTCTGATCACAGACACTCCTTCTCTAATCTCTGCATAAAATTTGTCCAACTATTTATCTATTATTTACTTTTTATAGCTAACTAAGCAGTGAGCATATTCAGCAATAAAGATTTTCCACAGTTCTGCCCTTACAGAATATAAAAATAGAGAAAATGTGCAGAAAAATTACGGGCAGAAGAACAAAGAATAGAAGGATACAAAATAAAGCTTAAAAAACTAACTATGAATTTGAACAGAATGGCAGACATCAGCATGAGAGAAACAGAATGACCTCAAGGGACTGATTAAAATGACAAAGCAGAAAATGATGGGAAATATTCTGTTTGGCTGCTAAAGTCAAGTCCCCCATTTTTCCTTTTTCTATTTAACTTTTCTGCCTGCTCCTTCCTGCATCATTTGTACTCAGACGTGTATAAATCAGCTACATTTAAACATTTAACCAGCAGATTGGTTTATTGTTTACTGCAAATTTCACCAGCTCATTTTCTCCAGTCCACTTCTAACCCTTTTATCAAAATGACTCATGTGNTAGATAGATAGATAGATAGATAGATAGATAGATAGATAGATAGATAGATAGATAGATAGATAGATAGATAGATAGATAATAGTTGTCCTGTGGACAGACTGTCCCACCTGAGCCGTGGATCTCTGCAACATTTGTCAGATTAACGGTCTCCTTGTCTCCTGTCAGATCAGGTGGGCGGCCAAGTTTTTCCATGTTTTTATAACCTGCTTTAAAAGTCTCAACAACTTTATTGGTGTGTTCCTTGGTTCAGGACTAGCCCTATCCAATTTGGCGCCCTGGGCAAGATTTCAGGTGGTGCCTCCCGTGCAGTTTTCTAAACCTCACAGCCAAATTCATACATTTACACACAAAACTAAATAGTTTTGTCTTGGTATTATTTTTCATCTTTAGAAATCAGGTTTTCCAATTAATATAATTCATTTGAAAGGCAACACCAGAAGTCTGCTACATCTGCCAACATCTACTGACATTGCTGTGGCGCTAACACTAATGCTGAGCTAATGCTAGCATGGAGCAGAGCTATGCACATGCCACACTAATGTGAACACTAAGCTAATGCTAACACAGAGCTAGCACTAATTCAGAGCTAACTAGCATCATAACGTGGCGCTAACTCTAATGGGAAGCTAACACTAACGTTGCGTTAGTTTGACCCATGATTTATCATCTATTAATTGTTATATTAATCAGTATTGGCTAAATGCCTCATGATCATGTGTTAGGCAATGCTGCTCATCATGACATCATGAGGAACACCTGTTCATGTTAACCAGCAGCGGTGGAGTGAAGCAGTTCTGGGGGGGGGGGGGGGGTGCAGGGGTATGCTCCTTCTGAAAGTTTGTGAAAGACCTCAATCCTCTGCATTTTCCAGCCATTTGAAGAACATTTTACTAAGTTTATAGGATGATTAACATAAAATTAGTATTATAGAAGACTGAAACTCTGACTTTAACCTAAGCTTTATCTTGAGCAGCAGCAGTTATGCTGCGTTCACACCAAACGCGATTTCAGCTTCCAAATCGCGTTCAACGCTTCAAGTTTGAAGCTTGTGCACTTTGAGGTCAGACGCAGGTCAGCTCTTGAAGCGCTTCACGGCAAGAGGCTCCCCGCCCCCGCCTTCCCTTTTGGCTCTGTTTAATGTCGGACGAGGAAGTGGCTTTGCTTTATTTACAGAGAGCAAGAGCATGTCACGTTCATCAGATAATTAATTCATAATTAATTCACCAGATAATTCAGAGACATTCTGAGTTTCATCACCCAGGAGCTGCGGGAGAGGCTCACAGCTCGCTTTCAGGACTATTTTTGYCCCGAGTCCAGTCTGATGAGCTGCTGCCACGCATTGGTGCGGATATCTCCTGTCAGGACACCGACTGCAGGCACTCGATTTCAGCTAAAGAGCTCCTCTCCATCTGTTTCAGGTTAGTGGACATCATTCAGTAAACTGTCCCGTCGGGAAATATGTCGCTACGTCACACAGTGGAGTCTCTCTGATTGGTTGACGCGGCGCATCGGGCTGCAAAAGTTCAGATTTTCCAACTTCAGCGATTTGCGCCTCAACGCTCAGATCGTTCAAATCGTTCAAATCGCGCTGCTCTAATCGCGCTTGAGGCGCCACAGCACTTCCTGGCGCTGATTGAAGCGCGTCCACCATAGACTTTGCATGTAAACCTGATGCTCCTGACGCTGAAATCGCATTTGGTGTGAACGCACCATTAGTCTTGACTGCCATATTGTTTAATAATAAAACATTGTCTGCATCATAAAACACCTCAACAAATCAACCGAGAAACCCACAAAACAAGTTCATAAACCTGATGACCCAGTTATTATTCTACAGACTAAACCAACTAGAATGATAAAAAGTTTGTCACGCCCCTTAGATGGACGGCGCCCTTAGCATATGCCCATACTGCCTATGCCACGGGTCGGTCCTGCCTTGGTCTTCATGATGCTGTTTACTCCTGACCTGATGATTAAAAGTCACAAACTCTGAATACATCTGACAATAAAATTTATGTTCAAATGAGGCAGATCGTTACAATAATCATGGCTCTAGTTTGTTTGTCCAACAGAAGTGTTTTAAAGAGGCGGAGCTTCTCAGAGGAAAGTTAACGACTTAAATAAGTGGCGTCATCAGCTGGAACATCTGCCCAGTGACAGTCTGTGTTTTAACCCCCCCCGGCCCTCCCCTCCCTGAGTGTCGGCTGTTTATTTCAGTGAGAGAAGCCCTCATCACTTTCCTCGCTCCGTGATCCGAGACTCCAGGGTTCTGGTGCTGTCCCCCCGGGGGATGAGAGGCTGTTGTTTGGCTCTGACAACAATGAGCTCATCGCCGGGTCCACCACCCCCACCTCCACCAGCACCAGCACCGTCCGTGTCCAGGCTCAGACTGAAAGAGGATCCAGGTTTCAAACGGAGAGCGAGGAGCTCCCGGATAATTAAAGCATGATTAATCCAGCGAGCACGTACGGCCTCTGACCCGTATCACCGGGTGACTTCAGACTTCCAATTAATAAATCAGGAGTCAGATTAAAGCTCTTGTAAAGAGTTTTTTTTTTTTTTTTTTTTTTGGTGGGGGGTGATCAGATTATCTGTTAACTTGAGACACCCCTATTTCAGTTTGACCTGTCTGGAAAGCCATCCATCAGCTGAGCCGGTGTTCATCTCAGAATATGGATTATTTCTGTTTATTGTAACAAAAGTCTCATATTTAAGTCCAATATTTCCACGTACCAGAGGTCAGAGCAGCATAAAAAGATCTGATGACGCTGAAATTTAAGCATCAGAAACTGTTATGTTGCCAAGACAAACAGGTGTCAGTCTGTTAGCAAAATATCTCATGAACTAGTGAACTGGTTTTAATTAAACTTCTAAGAAAGTAATCATTAGACGTATATTTACTTGTGACTTTTAGAGTGTTTAAGATGAACGCCGCAGCTGATTGACCTCAGCCTGCACAAAAGTGGCTCTATTTTTTTAAACATTATTCATTGAATTTTCAAAGGAGACTTTCTTGTTATCATCTTAATAATGATAAAGATATAATTCGCACATATACAGTCCAAGTTTGCATGGGTTTCAATGACTCACACATGAATAAACATATGATTTAAACATTTAGGCCAGGAACGAGTGACCAAACAGGTATACCAATCAACCATAAAAAGACAAACAAAAACACACAGTAAGGCTCACATTCATAAACACCAACAATTTTCTTTAATATTATTTACAGGGTCATACATAACTTATATCAATTTTCTTCATCTACGAGTTTTGTATCTATAGAAAATGAATCAAATGAGGACCAAACCTTTCTTACTTCCCATTTTGTTTGTATGTTGTTCTTTACAAGGGAAAAGTTGCTAACATTTGTCTAATCCAAAGTGTGACACTCGAGTACAATAGATTTTTTTTTTGGCATGCTCGTTCAGGTTATATCTATGACCACTGGGATATTGTCAAAGTGGCTCTATTTTAGTTAATTTTACAGATATTGAGCTGATATTCAGTGTGGTAGTGGCTGAGAGTCGTCTTCAACACATACTCTGTTGCAAAATATTGCAATTGAGCCCCCCCAACACACACACACACACACACACACACACAAAGACAGAAACAGGCATAATGTTTGTCATTTTTTTAACATAAGGTGTTTTTAGTTTTACTTGAAATGACTTCTGACTAAATATTACACAAGATCATGCTGCAGTTTTTTGTTTTTACAGTACAACACATTAGACCAAATTATGTGTTAAATGTTATTGTTTTTATTAGAAGGTGACCTGTTTCCCTCAGACCTGAGACCTGTCTTATCAGTGTAATCAGTGCTGCTGTCTGACATGCCCCCTCACCTGTCTCCACCTGTGCTCCTGCAGCAGGTCTCTGTGTTTCTGTCACATGACGGCGCAGAAACTTTGGCTCTGGTTTCAAGATCTTATCGGGTGATCAGCAGATCCTGCATGGTCACTGCTCAGCATTTGAGAGAAGCTGATTGTATCGACTGAAACTGGGTCACAGTCTTTGTTTATACGAGACAATGTTAATAATTAACAACTTAGTTTCATTTAAAGGAATGCATATCACCCACCTCCTATGGCAGTGTTTTAAATGTTCATCTTATGCTGAGAAGGGATTAAGTTAAAGTTGTCTAACCTTAAAAATAAAATACAGTTTGTGAGATATGCTCAGATTATGTGTTTAGAATGACATTCAGCTACTACCACATACTATTTTTAGCTCAAAATCTGCAGAACTGACTGATTTAGAGCCATTTTTGTTGTCCAGTGACTGTTCTGAAAGGTTAAGCAAATTCCATCCAATAGTTCATAAGATATTTTGCTAACAGGCCAAACTTTCAAGCAAAGACCTTGCACAATGCATTTGAAATGTTGTGAATCATTCAGAGCTACTACAACACCAAATTCTAGCACAATATCTGTAAAATTAATGGGTTGAGGCGGCTGCGGCAGCCATCTTGAACAGTGGTGACTCCAAAAGTTAACCTTCCTGCTCCCCTGGGTCGAAATAACCACTATTTAACATTTTTTTAAGACCTCAACATTTAAATTGAGGCCTTTTAGGTGCCGGTAAAACCAGAAGCCAGTAGAAGGTTCGCCTCACCGAACCAGAGAAACCGTAGAAGGACCAGGTATAGACCAGACGAGAATCTGCGCCGCCATTTTGAAAGGAGCTACTTGTTGTAGGCCTGCCCTGAACAGCAACAGACAGTCAGTATAAGAGGAAAAACTAAACCAAGCTTATGAATGAGTTTAATGTTTTGTCAATAACTGTAATGATAATGAACCAGCACTTTAAAAAAAAGTTTTTATATACGAGTTTGGCCGGTAAATTTGGAACTGACTAAGTGGTCCGCTGTCGCCATCTCCTGAGAGAATTGGAAATTACACTTTCACTAAAGCTTATGTAGCTTTTGATTTCGATTATTAAAAAATAAATATTAATAATTGTTTGTTAGACATACTAATATAAAATTTAACCTGTATTTGGTAACAACCTCAGCGTTTGGGCTTAAACAGGAACAGCGCTGTCGCTTTAAATCTCCCGAGTGGCTCTTTATTTGGCAGGAAGTTAGCTTAAGAAGCTAACATCGGGCCCAGTCATGAGGACAGGCTGAGGAGCAGAAATTGGCAAATAAACAACGAGTCCAGACACAGCTTCTTACTGGTTATAAAGGTAAAATAATCGCAGGGTTGCATTAAAACATGTAAACGTACTAATCTATGTTGTATTTACAACGTATTTACGGGTCTGTTTTTTGGATGTTTGTGTCGTTGGCGGGCCCGGCGCTTTGTGTCAGCTCAGATAGAGACATGGCTCAGGCTGCTTCCATTACTTCCCAGCAGACAACAGTTGAATAAAATCATGATTGCAGTTGCATTTAGCTCGGATATAACACCGTTTTATAGTTTGGACTGTCGGTGTGTAGCTAATGCTGCTGTAGCCCAGGTATTTTCATCCTGTTTGCGGCTTTAAGACGCTTACAGGAGCTTTGGGAACGAGGATTTATTAATTTGTGCTTTTGTCGCACAGCTCACCTGTTTCAACTGCTGCACGTGATAGCTGTCAAATTAAATGTAAGGATTAACCATTTATATAAAACACCTATAAGGATAAATTTATATTATTTACAACAATGAGAAAATTAACTATTTTTAATTCTGCAGTCAATAATGTTTGCTGTTTGTTATTCTTTAGGAGTTCACATGAAAATAGTAAAAGTAAATGACTTTAAATTAAGGTGCTCATTGCAAAATATGAAATTATTCATAAATAATTATTTTTTAATTTATTATTTTCATTAAAAAATAACTATATACAATAAAATACACAAATAAAAAAATCTAAATTAAATGAAAGGTAGCAGAAGAAGAATAAATCTTATTATGTCTGCCCCTTTTAACCCCAGAATATATTCAAACAAAACATAATTTACAAATTATCCTGAACCATATGGTGCAGCTTGAAAGCATTCAGTAGTTTTCCAGATATGTTGCTATGTGATTCTGAAATGCGGGTCTGCACTGGATGTAAACAAAGCACTTTAAATTTGCTGAAAACTACGTGGAAGTCACACGAATGGCTGGCTATAGTCTTTAGGTGAATAAAGGTAGACCGTCTGTTTAACCTGTTTTCAGTGGAGGTAATTTTCAGTCAGTTTGGCTCAGTTTTTCTTTACTTTTCATGTTTTACGTCATGAGAAGAAAACACTGAGTCATTAAACTGTGAGTGAAAATGGCTTAAAGTTGCTTCTTTATTGCAGACGGATTGAGTGGTCCACATCTGGATTTGAAGACAAGTCAAAGGCAGCTATGGTAAGCAGAAATAAAGATAAAAAGCTATGCTTTATAGCAAAGCTGTTTAAAATAAATGACAAATTCAGTTGTATTTTACCATACCACCTTAAAAAAAGGTAGCTTTTTCATCCCAATAAAACCATCTTTTGTCGTTGTTTCAGTCTTCAACGGTGGATCTGAAGACCAAGGAGGAGAAGGACGCAGAGCTGGACAAACGAATCGAAGCGTTGAGGAAGAAGAATGAAGCTTTAGTAAAGAGGTACCAGGTACGTTGAGTTTACTTCTCGTTAAATTTAAAGTTTGTGTTTTTAAAATGAGCAAAGAGTTTGTTGTTTTGACCTGTCTCGATCCCAACAGGAAATACAAGAGGACAAGAAGAAGGCGGAGCAAGAGGGCATTGCTGTGACGACGCCACGGAAGCCCCGCCCCCTGGAGCCGGAGCCGGAGAGGCGAAAGCCAGAGAAGGAGAACTTCACCGTCACCGTCGACCTTTCTAAACCCGTGGGGGTAAGAACCTGAGCGAGGTTCCACATCGTCACACAGAATTAAACAAAAATTAAAACTGGAGGAAAAGAAGGACATGATTTCAAAGGCTTTAAACGATAATCATGTCAAAAATATTTGTACTGGCCAACAAATACATTAAAAAAGCTTTTCTGTAAGGAAGCTGTGTCACCTACTGCCACACTGATTGTTACATTTTAATAAACGTAATAATCTGATCATTTTACTTTTAAATATACGTTTATATCAAGAACCACAAATGACAGTCACTACAAGTGAAAACAGTTTGTACCTTCTTCAATTTAATTATCTCATTTCTGCAGAAGGACTTTAGTTGTTTGTTTTTTAGGCCCTGTTTACACGAGACCGCTCTCTGAAAATGCTAATGTTTACTGGGGTGAATACACCAAAAAACCACCCGTTTACATTAAGGTTGTGTATTGGCAAGAATTTGGCGATACGATACATATCATAACAGAGGGGTCACGATACGATGTATCCCGATATATCCCGATATATTGCGATACTGTAAGCAAGGCAATATATTGCGATTTTAAATAAAAACCTCACTGAAAAAAAGCTAATGTTTACTTACAATGCTAATGCTACCCTTACTCTCTGGCGCTCAAGAGGTAGAGG